TGAATTCGCAGTCTAGTAATATTAAAAATACATTTTTCTTAAAAAAACGTTATACTAGAAACTGTTAGATATTTGGCTAAAAATCGGACACGAGATAAAATGTGATAACTCAGATTGAAACATATTTATGCAATATACTACTTTGTGTCAACCCCTTCTGTCTATCTATCACTAGTACCATTTGTGAACCTCTTGATGTAATCGGCTCGTGAAACAAAAACATTTCACCCTGAAAGTTTGGTGAAATCATATTGCTTTATGTACAAATACAGAGTATTTTCTTGATATTTTATGTCGTACATCTATTGAATTTACCTACCAAACGATCCCAAAACACCCACTGCACCACTCAAATAATTCTTAATATGTACTGGGTCTTCAACATTTACGTTAAAACGAATTATTTAAACCAAATCGCACACAAACAAAATATAAAAAGTACACTTGAAGTCAAGGATATTATTCTACAAAGTGAAACGAAGTGTTTATTGATGCAGAAATCTGTATGAAAATAGTTATCACTGAGGAATAACCATAATATCATAGAATTTACTTACATGAATAATACAATATTTGATCGTCTACAATATCGATATTTCACAGCATTTAGATTTACATCATATATAAGCTGTTGAGCTTCTAAATGAATCTTAAATTATGTGACAGTATTACTGTAGCTTTTACTTTCGATGAGTAAACTGATCAGACTCTGATGACTTATCTATTTGGGCGGATGTTGCTATTTAATTGGACTAGTAAAGTATGCATTAATATTTTTGTGTTAGTTGACCGAATATGTCTGTCCCATACTGTCATAAATACAGCTCTTTCTGATAGTTAATTGGATAGGCTGTCAGTCAGTCAGTTGCAACGTAGAATTTCGTACGTAAGTACATCAGTTCATGTCGCCATACCACATCAGCACAGAGATATAATTGTCAATTCAAATCCAATAGTAGAAGAGGTAGTAAAGGTATTAGAAGTAATCGGAGAGGTTAGAATTAGAAGATATTATTCTAACCTCTCCGATAGGCTGTACGTGAGAAGTGAGATGTAGGACTCAGGTTTTTCACTAATCGAGACATGCCAGAAGCATCCCAGTGTCTATAATACCAAACATTTAAGTATATTTCTCATTTACAATAATTGAAGAGCTAAAACTCTCGACATGAAGGTAAACATACAGTGTCTGGTTGATTCCTGTAAGATCGGTCACTTTTCAGATAGAAACAAAAAATAAGCTTTGCTATTTCCATTCAAATACTAGAAGTACAAGGTACTAGGTCCGAGTCCTAATGCTAACACTAACATCAGGATAAAGACATATCCAGTTTGAAAAGTTCCAAAAAGAACGAGATTCAGGTATTAGATTCCATCTATTCCTAATATTTGTGATCAAATTAAATTTTGATTATGATGAGAGACGAACTTCGAAAAATGTCTGTAATCAGTAGTGATTATGATGTATGTACTTAAAGATAATCAGTTATATGAAGAACTTTCAGTTAGAAGTAAAAATCTATACATCATTACGCGTTTAGTTTTTATACAAAAATAACATCATTACCCTTAAATATGAACATCTATTTGAAAATAATTGTTGTTAAAAACTGATATCAGATAGAAGTACCACTGAAAACCAGTCATAAACTAAAACGAAACAGCTACCCAGTACTGTTTAATTTCTAATGGTTTATTAGCTTTTTTTTAGCTCATGATGAAAACATTTTAAATTAAATAATTCTCCATAATCCATCCAATTGGACATGATCTATCTGCTTTTTTTTTACCCTGTCATAATCTAATATAAATAATCTCTCCCTGATTTAGTAAATTAGGATTGTTCTAATTAATCATGTTCATCATACACAAATATTGTTCAATATTGTCTTTGTTATCTATCTAGAGTTATAGTCAATGGTGTTAAGTTGTTTTGTAATGAAAACAGTATGCAAAAAAAATTTTTTTATTCTTAATAGCAACTAATTTAATGGGGAAAAGTAGGATCAGTGACCAGTTGACGTCATGATATGATCCATTTAGTGTTTTTTTGTTTTTTCGACCTTCATAAGTGTCAATATTCCATTCATATTTGTTTTTATTATTAATATAAGCCTTACATTAACAAAACGGTAGGCAAATAAAAAAACTGAAAAAAATCGAAACACTTTTGATCTGGTAGATGTACACACAATGAATGAGTTTCTTGAACCGTTATCAGAATTGGACAACAATCTCGATTATGTCAAGGGTTTGTGTTTACTGCTGTTTATCAATATAACTTTCTACTAATAAACTCTACTATCATGAACTCCACAGTGAATACTCACGTCACAACTAATTTTAGTAGATATATTGGATAGTTTATTGGGTTGGTTTCAGTCAGCAATGAAGACTAAACCACAATGTTGGTTGCTTTGATGTCAGTGTTATAAAATCTAGAGATTGAATGTTTAACAGATAGAAAAGGAGTGAGAACTTGATGAATCAAAATGGTGATAAGATAAAGTGAACGCTTAAAAATATTTTTTTCTAAGTGATGTAAAATATGACTAGACTAATAGGAAAATCTATGAGCCAAAATGATGCAGCTTCAACTTAATAATTAGGCGTCCTTATCATAACAATTCAATTAAGATGTGTTGTCTATAAACTTTCATTACCTGGGGTTACACCAGACTAACCCGGACAGTTGAGAATGGGTAAAGTAGAAAATCTCAGTTCTGGGAGAAAATTTATACTCCTAACTGTATTGTAGTCAAAAGATCAGTCGGTCCTAAATCACTAAGTTTATTTGGCTACCCGAGGTTTTGGTGCGTTAGAAAAATACGGATTTAATTACTAAAAATTAGAAACGAATAGTCTATTACAATGAGCAGTCAGAGACTTTGAATGATATCGCTTCAAATCATTTGCAATGGCTCAGATGCATTCATTCCTTGCTTTCTAATATCATGAATTCCTCATAACGTTTTTAATTTTTAGATTGATGTCACTAGTTTAGATTTCATTGAATCTTATCTTTGATCCTTAATCTTTTCCATCGCCAATAATAATAATTCTTCCTCTACCACCCAGAGATTTGGCTTGATAATGTAATCTCTCTTAACTAATGTGGTATGAAAACTTGAACTGATATACGTATGTGCGAAGTTCTACGTTATAGTTAACTGACTGGCCGTGCTTAGCTGAGCTTAATCCATTATCCTTTACAATTTTCAATCCAATCTCGTTTCTGTCCAAGATTATCCACTGGTGGACTGTTGTGCGGATGACCACGAATAGTCAATCTTCCTTATACATTAAACGACATCTAAGTGTATGGGTTCATTCCTGGTGACAATTGAACTACCCCAAATAGAAAAATTCCTCTATAGCAATCAAGATAAACGACATCATAACCTCACAAACAATCATTGGAAGTCCAGGGTTCGTTTGGCTAGCATTATGAAAAAGCAAATAGAATCTCGGAGACATAGGTGACTTTAATGCATGAAACCGAATCGTCAATCAGACACTCCTAAAAGTTTTTTTCAAAAATGTCGTTTGTCAATGGATTACAGATATGATTATGAGTATCATAAACCACAAAATTTGTTGTACTCCCCATCTATTTCGACTATAAATCAAGAATCAGATAACATACACTATACAGAATCTAAGGTATATTCATTTATTCACTGATCACAAGCGAACCTCTAAATATTAACATTAGGTAATAACCTAAGTGAACGTCTTCAAAACAATGCCGAAAATTGACAAAAGGTGAAGGTAGCCTAATATTGGAACCTAAGTTAAAATTGTTTGTCATTAATTTAGATAAAGAAATCAATCTTCGTTTTATTCTAATTAATACAACTTATAAAGATCACAATAGGGACCTCCCCGCAATCAAACAAAACCAGGTAAATCCTAAAAGCATTTAAATTTTTTTTCTTAAAAAGTAATCACTCGGTGGAGTAACTGAACAAGCATAATGTACTTTAAACGCAGACTTAGAAACTATGCGAGATGAATGGTAGCGATACATTAGAACTTGACTAACAAATATATTTTCAAACAATTTAAGGTAGTCACAACTTTTGATTGTAGACTAAAGGAGTTCATAAACAAAATGAAAAGCAAAGATAAAATTACTGATATGATCAGATTCCCAGTTAATTTGCGCAATTGTTATACCATATCAATTAAATAATAATCCTATCGGGACTTCAGAAACACTTAATGTCTTATACTGTGTGTACATGATGATAGTTGGATTTACACTAAAATCTTTATTCCATCTTAAATGACATTTAATCTCGAATTCATATGCAGAAAATAAACCAAATGACTCACAATAACACAAAAAATGACACCATTCCTGCTTATTTAAAAAAAATCTAAGAAGCTATTCTCCTCTATTCGGTTTACAAAATCGATGTACTTCAACTTTATAAATCCTAAACGAGTCGTTCAGAGAGTGGTGACCGACAAAGACATATTAAAACGGAACATTAGGAGTTCAACAGATTTATTAAATTGATTTAGAATGTAATCTCTTACTACACATCGTACTTAACAATGGTGCATAAAAAACTAGAGAACGCCCTGCGCCTTATTAAAAGAAAACAATGCATGCAATGAAACTGAAGCATCATTTTTCTAGTAAGTCAGATGAACATTTACAAGATGCCAGACAATTTATGTTCTATCACCCTTACAAACCAGTAAATCTTACCGATATTATGAGACTTGAAATTCCAAACTCCTAACATCAATGACAGACTTGATCATTCAACTAAGATCATCTAAAGTAAACCTACTACTCAATATACTGATCTACTAAACAAATTATCACTGATGTTCTAATCTAGGAATATGAATAAATTCTTAAACACAACCATCGATAGTGTTTTCTTCACAAGCACATATGGGAAATAAATAATCATATACTGTGACCTCAACTTTCAGACAGTTCAAACAGAAATAGAAATACAAGAGCAAAGAAAACCACTCACCTTGTGATTCATTCTCATCTACTTTGCTGGGCATGTGTGAAAAATGTCAATTAAATCACACCACTTACACGCACTGAGCGTGCTCTGTTTGTGTGTCAATCTCGTTTGAATGATGGTAGATTGGTGTGTCTATCTTACGCTCACTAATCTACCATTTAATTGTTAGTTGTGTGGCCTTCAACCAGCCTATTTGCTAACCCATTAAGACGTTGGATAAAAAAAAACCAAAAAAGTTAATTGTCAGGTTGTCTATATGTATATTAGCTATCATTTAGAAAGTGCAGAAATCTAAGAGGCTACAAAATGACCACCCCGATTCCATATATGTATAGTAATGGATCAACACGATTAAAACATTCACTCTTTTAATATAAATATGCTTTATAGTCCAAGATTCAGCCCTAATTTCCGTTTAAATAAAAACTCAGTGTCAAATGAAAAGATGACCTTAAAGTGAGAAGTAGCTGCTCGTTGACTATATGGCCTTTGCTTTGTGTCCTACTAAGGATCAACGTATGAAACGTTTATCAACGCTTGTTCAAATTTGGACACAACTTTATCTTATTACAGACAACGAAATAAATAATATACATTTCATTCATTAGTTCAACAGAGGAGAAATCGAGCTGATGACAGACATCATGTAAAAAAGAATGCGATCATGAAAATATTAACCAATTACTTCGAGACTATGCTAGAAACAGATATGCATAATTTTTATTGTCTGATTAAAATAGGTCATGTCATAAATCTCCGTCGTGATGTTACCATTTTGTGTCCCGCTAAACTATTCAGAAGGTGGGTATTAACTCACGTTACCCGGTAAATAATTACAATTACCCATGCGTGTGTTCGCGTACGGACGAAATGACCTATTTAATTGGTTTTAAATACGAATTCAACACTGAAATCATGAAACTTCCTTAATTAATCTACATGGTTGGACAATGCATGTAGCACGTCAAATAAAAATGTTTTTTAATAAGCGAAGTTTGTTGTCCTTTTCGAAAATAAGAACGTGGTAGTGTAATCATAACAATTGTCATCTTATTACGAAATATTTCGCAAAGATTATGTTCGCATTCTAGTTGAAGAAGGAGCTTTTGCTGCATACCTGGTTGTCAAGTCAGAAGGCAATGAGGAGTGAACGAGGGTCACTCGAATACACTTGATTTTGGCTTCTGACCATCTTTGTTATACCATCAAATTTATCCGAATTTCTTCAACAACAGTTTAAGGTAAGACACTTACCTATACTGAAATGTAAAGGTGAGCCAATGGTAGACACTCGAGTCGGTTCAAAGTTATGACGCATATATAAATAAATATGGTGTCAGGGGACGATGAAGTAGATAAAATTACTGGGGGGACCACAAATGTTTGAACGCATGAAGAAAAATTTTACGCAAGAAAATATCGCATATTTAAAAAAAACAATGTGCCGTTTAGGGTTGTGGCAAGGGTTAGGGTATTGGTTTAGGATTTGGATTAGGGTTAGGGTTATGGTTTGGATGTACAGCTGAAAATTAAGACGTAGAGTTTAGGGTTAAATAAACAATGCCAACCCTTAAATCCTAAATCCCTAAATGTTAACTCTGATCACTAGACCTAAACTATGCATGCTAAAACTAACCCTAAAATATCATCTACTCATCATTTATCTAAATACCAGGTCTAAATCTTAACCATAACACCAAAAATAACTAACCCATACTTGCTGCATTCAGCTTGAGTGGATATGTCAATAGTTAATCGAAGTCATTCATAGGTTCCCTGAAACTCATTCTTATAGTTCAGCTTTACCAAACACACTGACGTTTAAAACATTCTTCTGATGAAGTGGTAAACCAAAGTTTAGGTAAAATTCATCATAAATATTCCACCTAGTTTTTATGTAATATAGGGGTAATTTACCGCGGCTGGTGAAGGGAGTTCTGATAGTAAGTAGTATTCCAGAGCTTAGCCTTGAATCGAAATCTTTTTTAATACCATTTCTAAAACTATTTATGTGTTCACGAAGAAAGTCCTTCCATTATTTATATAGTTTACACACCTGACTCTGAACTAAGATAGTCGAATTTAGCTAGTCCGACGTATTACATATGTGAAACTAATGATGACTGGCAGTCTAGTATTTGATATTGCCAATGTAACCTCTGTAAGAGCCCCTAATTCATCACTCTGGTAACATGCCTACTACTTATGTGTAGAAATCTGTTTTCCAAGTTTGTTTAAGGAGAATACTTTGAATCATAATGTAAAGGCTTTTTTCCAAATCCACTAATCATGAGTACAAAATTGTTTCTATCTGAAAGGTTGTATATGATAGTCTTACATCTAACAATACACACAAATCCGATGCTAGACAGTAGTCAAAACATTTCTTAAGTCTTTATTATTGATTGAAATCTATTAATAAATAATTGTTAGGCAATTTTTGAAGCGAGAAGATAAGTTAGCAAGAAATTGATTCAAAACCTAAACTTGACATGACGAAAGATCATGAAATCTAATCCTATTCTTTAACAATGTTTCTAACAAATCTTATATTCCTAGAAAACAAAATTTTGCTATTTTGTTTAATTTTGAAATAATTAGAGAACCGGTGGTTTGCAGTGCCACGAATTAACATAGGGATTTATTGGTTACTCATATAGACCTGATACACATAATTCAAGAAGTATAATATTCTTAGTTTGCACGAAAAAAATTTCCTTTGATAATTTATTCATATAGAATAATCGACATGGAATGAATAATAGAATTTAAAAATTTCACGATTTCATATATGATTTCACATGGGTGCTTTTTGTGTGCACATGATCTATTCCTACAAACTCATCAATAAATTTGCCAGTTTAAAAAAATAGTAATCTGAGAATTTGTTTACAACTATGCACAATAGATAAACAAACACGTAACAATGATTGAATCAGATTCTGAAAATTGCACTGGCTTCTGATTGGTCATTCGGATGACCTTGTTAAGGACAAAAGAATCGTATGATCTTCCGACATGACTTCCACTTTTTAGCTAAATTTTCTGTTAATGCAAGAATACGTTGCTTACTCCACTAGATTCGAACGTTGAGTAGATTAGTATCAATGACTCATACTGATATATAGGATCATTTACTGACATTTTGTATGACACAGGGTACCTTGCTAATGCTCCTCTAGTTGAAACTTATCTCCTCTTAATGTGTCCCAAAATGTAAGAGTGTCAGAGGTTTGTAATAATTTTCAGTACTAGATCTACATTCCCCACAAACATCTTAGTTGAAGAACTAAGATACCCTAGTTACTACAACCTGAACCTGATAAAAATGCTTACATCAGATTATCAATGAACAAATAAAGCTTAATGAAACTAATGAAGTTAATTCAAATATTAGGGAGTGGTAGATAACTATATGAGAAATATATTTATAGAGGCAGTCGCTTTAAATCTTTAGAAAATAGGGTCTTCTAAAAATAGAAATGATATTTTCAGATTTTTGAAAGCGATTCATTTTTAATTAAATATACACAGTAGCTTACTCATATTCATACTGAAAGAAGAATAGAGTTGCAATTTTTGAGCTCGGTAGTTTGATCACAAAGCATCCACCGTCTTTCTAGACGTCTTTCAATCGAACTACAAATGTTTTCCATCAACTCAGAACTCATAATACCTTGTCTATAATTTATTCGAGTTACTGATACAACTTCCATGAGTTGTTGAGTAAAGATGAAGATAACTTGTATTTATTTAGGAATTCAATTATCTAAGGGCTAACATTTTCAAGTTTTTTTTCTCATAGTACATAATCTGCTCAGCAAATAAATAGACTAAATTGGTTACTGAAACTTGAGAATAGCTTTCAAGAAACTAATGATATATTTTGAGGAGCACATTGAAGAAAACAGCTTTTCTCAAGTTGACTTAATGTTTCACTCAAGGATATGAAGACTTCAAGGATGACTAAACGCCATACAGACCGTCAACTCCTGATGTTTATGGAACCATAGAATGGTATTTTGAAAAAAAACATTGTTTAACGATGTTTGTCCTACATTGTAAATATATTTATTCAGGTCAATCATAATCCTCATGTGAACTTTTACAAAGACCAGTTCAGTATAATAATAGTAATCATAAAATCATGCACAAATAAGATCATTCTCAATATGATCTAATTTTAAGACGTGTATCCTAAATTACTTGAACAAAATGAGTCATCATATACTAATTATAATGTCATAGCTGTCCAATAATCGGACTATTCCATTCACTATGTCAAGACGTGGTAAACCATACGATTAAGTAAACATTAAACAATATCACTAATACAAATGATTTGTACCAATATAAAACAACAGTAAATCAAATACTATTAATATAAAAATGTTTAGTCTGTTCATGTCTTGAAGATTAAACCCTAAAACATCATGACCAAGAAAGTTGGATCATTTACAGCTGATGTGCAACAAAATCATTTATGAGAAAGTATTAGCACTGTTAATAGTGTCGTTTTTGGTTATCTTCAACAATAAAATATATGGTGAATTCTTAGCAAAATGTGTACAGCAGAATATTTATAATCTATAACATACCCAGACACAATATATTACATACGACAAACTATAGTTCATGCTTAAGTTTTTACCAACATCTACAGGGGATAAACATATCTTACAAATAATGTTTTTCCAAACAACCTGTTAATCAATTTTGGAAACTAAGGTCTTATTCGCTCTTCAAGACTGACTTATCAATAGAAGTATAGACCCAAGAGGAACATGACAATTGTTTTATCCTAGGGTAGTCGTCTAGCTAAGATCATTTCATGATTTAAAACTGGAAACTCCACCATCTTTATAATACCTTATACTGAAAAGTATAAAACTAGGTAATCTCAGTCCTTCCTACTCTTACGACATTACTTAATGTATGTCAAACTTCATGAAGACCATTGTATCCGGATAAAGACTAAAGTAGATTATATACGCTTACAACAACATCATATTGCACCAACAAATGAAATTCACCAACTATACATAAATGGGCCAAAAGTGATTGTGAGTTTGGGAGATTGTAAATAATAAACTATCAACAA